CACCACCATCTCAAGACCCGACGTTTAGACCGACGTTCTTACTAAGGTCGACATTCAGCCCGGAACGTTCTGCTGAAAGACCCAGACGTCCTGCTTTAATGCACGACGTTCGGTCTACGTCCTGCTGAGAACCCGAACGTCCTTGCTTAAGGCCCGACGTCAAGTCCCTACGTCCTGCTGAAATACCCGGCTCGTCCTGCTAAGCCCGACGTTCAGTCCCATATGTCTGCTAAGAACCTGACATCCTGCTTAGCCCGAACGGTCAGTCCCGACGTCCTGCTGAAGACTCGGCGTCCTGCTTAAGGCCGACGTCAGTCCGACGTCCGCTGAAGATCTCTCGCATCCTGCTTTAAGGCGACGTTCAGTCCATACGTCCAGGACGATCGTCCAGGGTGTGGGTCTCCGAAAGATTCCGCCGTGCAGGTTCGCAATGGCAAGGTACGACCGCACTATCCCGTAGGACAAAATGGTCGTGGCCTTACACCCGGCACAAGCAGGCGAGTGAGAGCAATGAGTTATAGATACGATTAGCCATGGAGGATGCGGCTTCACCCTACCAACCTCGATAGATAATAATATCTATAACCCAAAAAGTTCACGAGATTCCCCCATTCGATTACATCAGCTCAAATGGGAGTTTATTTGATTTGGGATTCGGTTTCCTACGGGCGCAAGCCCCCGTAGTAATACATCTTAGACCATCGGTCTAGAGACTCGATTCAAGGAACGTTAGATTATCTCCTCTAAGTGGGTTAGTGCAAGGTTTCTAGGTCTTCCTAATCAAAGGGGAAATGTCCCACTCGGGCTCGTATCAGTGCATACAAGGTTCAGTCAACATCCTAGCTAAAAAGAAGTGGAAAACTGGAGGGGAAAAGAGAAGCAGAACATACAGTCATACATGAGCAGAAACGAGAAGGAGACGTTCTAAGGTATGATGGGCGGGGTTTCAAATTTTTATGTGACGCGACGATAGTTAGGATTTATAGCTTTTCAGAAGAGAAAGCTTACCCACCAATAAGGTATGTATTAGTGGTTCACTCATACCCTCACCTTAGATCTAATCTACAAAAGATGTAGATGCCGCACAACACCTAACATCTACGAACCTAACTAATGCAATCTGGACTTACTCCTGTCTGACAAAGGAAAGCCAACCTAAAACCACCTAATCGTATTTAAAATTCCATTGTGTCCGTCCTGTATGCAAAGATGAACCAGAAAGAGGTAGTAGATTTAGACGCTAAATTTGGGATCGACAAAACTAGAGAAGAAATTCCTAATGATCCCACACTGATGAGTGGTTAATGTCCTAAAACTAATGCCAATTAATCTTAATTTAATTAGTACTAATGCATATGCTGGGTTAGTCTTCAATCAAAACATGTATGAATTTTAAAAAGGCTTTATAAAAATATTTTTGAATGACTAATTCCCCAGGTCCGGCACTCATCCTATTAGGCCGATTTCCGGATTCTTACCGCAGGCGAGAGGAATTTGTCTAGGAGGTGAGAGAATGCATGTATGCCACCCCGCGACGATTCCGGCATATTCCCTAGAGTCGTTATGTTTCTATGTTGAGTTTAATCTTAAATTTTATTAAAAATTACGAGTAGAAAAATTTTATCCTAAAAGAGACCTAACGATCAGACCACATAGCACATGCCAAGAAAGAAACCTATGAAAAACGCAGCTGTGTTCTTACTGCGCAACAAAAGTAAGTAAATCACAGCACAGAAACAAAAATCCCCACGGAAAAGAATGTCCATGGCAAGTGCCATACAATATTACTCGCAGGGTACAGTAAGTAAAGGTAGGCCGGGTATCCACCGACAAACAACCCTGGAAACGACCGCAAATCTTAAAATAAAAGGATTTTTTTTATACTTCTTCAGTCCTTCTTTCTTCTCTTCCTTGATTCGTCTTGCGATCGTTCTTCGATCTCTTCCGGCTCTCGTTAGTGACTCTCCCAAAAGGATATCCAAATGAAAAAGGAAACCCCCTGTAGGCGGTTACTTTTCCCTTTTTGGACTCCTCGTAGTGAGTGCTCCAAAAAGATATCCAAATGAAAAAGGAAACCCCCTGTAGGGCGTTTAACTTTTTCCCTTTGGATTCCTTTTCTCCTTAAAAAATGCCTTTATTTTAAATTTTCACCAATATTTACTATCAAATACATTTCAACAAGAAAGAAAGAAAAAATCTAGACTCTCCTTTAGCAGGCGGTTATCCTAAGCAGGTATAATAAAAATTTCACCCAAGACAGTTACATATATAAATTAAAATGCGCACATCAATTACCTTGAGGGGAGGTGGACCGTGCCTCTAATTTATTGGGGGCCTAAGCAGTCTGAAGCAGGTACCTAAAGCAGTTTATATATAATTTATTAATTTTTAAGGCCCCTTTTAGCAGCATTATATGAGCACGGCCACGCTGCAGGAAGACAGCATTAGTATAAGAGCGTGGCCTAGTCCTATGGGTATCTAACGTTCACAACACAGTACAGAAAGGAGAAAGCTAGAAAAACAGTACAGGGAAATCACATCACAGAAAAGGCTTTACAACAAGTAGCAAAAACAAACGAGCACACGGGTCACTACTGCAGAGCGTCACAACACAGCACAGAAAAGAAAAGGCCAAGAACAAAAGTCCTGAACCTAAAGCTTAATAGTCGTGTCCTAGCAAAAACTCATCTCAATGTGTGTGAAAGCAGTGTGTTTGGTAGATCCATATAGGTAGTTTTAGTTAGAGTTTGTATTGTATTTATATTTTGTTTGTTGAAATGGACAAAGAAGAGATTTTAATTAAACTTCAAATCTTAGTGTTTTGGATTGATTTAGGTATTTTTAATTTTGTAATGTTTAATTAATTACACCTTTGTTTCACAACCGAGGCCGTTGAGGTTTATTTCACCCTCCTTGGGGCTATTTAATAGCCTCGTAGGCCTGGGTTACCCAGTGATAATTAACTTTGTTGATGATTATTTAGTTGTTATCTTAAAGAAAGAAAAAAAAAAAAGGTAGATTTAATTTTTTATTAATCATGAATTGTGATTGACAGTTTTAGAAAGTTACATCTAAGTTTGATATTTAAAAGTCTTTCGCTAATGAATTTTTAATTCTACAATTTGATCATCCTAATTAACTAGCCTCTTTAGATTTAAGATGGGTAGAAGGGATTGATTGATTAGATTTATATAGATTTGATTTAGAGTTTATGATTTAAAATATTTATTAATGATTATGAATGTTAATTAACATTAATTAAGAATTAAGTGTTTTAATAGATTTTTTAAGAATTAGATTAAATATTAGTTGGTTGTTATTAAGTAGATTAAAGAAAAAAAAATCTAAATCTTAGGAAAACGTGTCACTAAGTTTTATTGTTTTTAAGTCTCTATCCATAGAGGACATGCACCTAAGCTATGATTTTCTAAGACTCGGTCCTTAATTTTTGTCCTTAGATGTCACTAATGTTGTAGGATTGAAAGTGTGTTCTTCTATCCTAAGACTTCTATACGGGATGTCATAGGTTTAGGGATCTAAAAGAAATAAAAACAATCCTAAATATAATTAGAAGTTTCTAAGGCCCTAAGGAAGGGCAGGGCGGACAATCATCTAGGCCCACTAAAGGTTTTCTAAGTTTTAGAACTACAGCACCGGGGGCTACGACCCGGTGGTTCCGCCCGTAGCGCCCCTACTAGATGAGGTAGGGACGACTGATGCTTAGGATCCTTGTCCTAGCTCCCTATCCAATGCTCCGCTCCTTGCTCATTGCATTTCCAAAGGACCTCGCGACGAACATAAAAGAAAATGTAGGTATTAGAGCAGTTCTATAAATAATAATATAAAGAAATAGAAATGCAGTAAAATAAAACTAGAACGTTACCTTTTGTTATTTGTTAGCCACTTGTTCTTTAGGTTTCTCCTTGTTTGCAAGCATTAGCACCAAAAACATAAACAAAAAACGGGAAAACAACGAAAGAAAAATCAAATACAAAAAAGGGGTGTAGCATCGTTGTTATTGGATACACTTCGTAGAAAGTCAAGTGCATCCTAATAAAGCAACATGCCCTTTGATGTTCCCACTCCAAACGAGGCACTCGATACTTTACTAATCTACCCACAAACACTACAAACAAATCTATATTCAACTAAGGGATACAAATTCCCATTCTAAATCCAAATAAGAATTCTCTTTTGTTTATATTTTCCCAAAAA